CCCCTGGCCATAAGACTGTACAACTCTTAGTCAAGGCATGGAGGACAATCTCAACTTCATTTGCACTCCATCTGCACTGCTTACCGTTTGCACTGTTTATTGTGTTAAGTTAACTTTAATTTTATTTTGTTAACTGTAATTTTATTTTTTAATTTTATTCTAATGTATGTCTTGTATGCTACTGGATGCTTGAATTTCCCTCGGGATAAATAAAGTATCTATCCATCTATCCATCTATCCATCCATCCGGACCAAACAGGAACTCTTTGTTTCCTTAAGTATTACAAACACACAGCAGGGGGCGCTAATGATTATGGGAACCAGGTCTGGAATGTGACATATTTTAAGGAAGTGATTTTCTATGATTTTCTAACCCTATTTATGATCATATGACTCAGTCTGGATTCACTAAGGGATCGTTTTCACCCAACAACCTAAGAATAGTTCAAATTGGGGATTTTTAAAGTTTAGTTGGGCAGACGGGAGCACTTTCTATAATTCCTATACTTTCTATAATATACTTTCTATAATTCCTGTACTTTCTATAATATACTTTCTATAATATACTTTCTATAATATACTCTATACTTTCTATATGTAGCTGAATAGCGAGCAGAAGGGGTGTAAAACACATGATTTCAGAAGAAAGTAATGTTAGTGGATTATTTTCTCTGAGCCGAATTAATAAGAGAAACTTTCCAGCTCGGAATTTGTTTCCCATGTTGTGAACTAATGGACCGTTTTCACGCTGTATCAATATAAATGATTAAATACTCGTTTTTTGAATGAAATGCGGTTTGAGGGAAGAATGTGCGTTCTCCACTTTATAACCCGGAAACAGGTTAGCTCAGCTGCTAGCACACACAAACAACATCAGAGAAATCCATAAAACGGTTCTGAACGGAAACTAACTCACCTCGTCGGTCGGTCTGTTCCTGTCTCACCCGGCTCTACCTGGTTCGACCCGGTTCGACCTGGTTCTGGATCGGCAGGTGAACTGTGTGACTGCAGCTGGCGGCAATAAAGAATCAGCTGGTCACATGATAACGGGCAGTCACATGACCACCCCCCCCCAGTTTGGATTTTCTCCGTTGACTTCATCTGTTGATTATTGATTATTGATTGATGTGAACAGGTAGCTTTACAGAAGAAGAAATCTTTATTTTGTACTTTAGTTCATTTAATATTAATAATAAAATATCAGTATGTAACCATAGAAACCAATATGAAAACAAAGATGCTGAATTTGTGTAATTATGTTTTTATTTTAGATTTATATTTTAGAATTCACTTTAAAACATTACTAATTAAAGCAGCTTTTATTTAATTTTATCTTTATTTGTTTATTTAATAATAATAATGTGTTGTAATAAAGTGTGTGAACAATGTTTAATAAAGTTTTTCTAAATAAAAGCCTCACTATAAGTTCTCTTATTGAATGAGTGCTGGTGTTATTGATTGTAAAGATTTCTGTCTCTGTACAGTTCTGATCCAGAGAACAATCGATCAGCTGATTATTGATCCTTTAACATTTGATTTTGACATCGTCAGGAATCCTGCCATGGTCCTACTTAACTCCCATAATATCACTGATATATTATTATTATTACTATAATCACTGCTCATTCTATGTCTGTGTCTCTCCTAGAGTCGGGGTCTGTCCTACGTAAAAAAAAAGATGAAACAGTTTTTCCTTGCCCCTGTCTC